AGAAGAACTAGAGTTCACTTTTTTTGCTTTTAAAATAAATGAATATTTATTGAGCACATGTTGTGTGCTAGGCTGTGTGGCAGGCATTGAGGAGGCACACAGTAGGACACAGTCTTTGCAATGTAGAAAAATATTACAATATCGGTTGAATGGGCTTCCTGAGGAGGTGAACCTAAAATGGAATGACAGGCTTGCTTAATGAGATGCTTGGTCCTGAAGGAGCATGAGTAGTGGGTATCTGGCATGGGGGTGGTAGGGATAGGGGAAACTTCCACACAGAGGAAAGGGACTGTGCAAAGCACAACCCACTTGGAGGGATTGCAAATGGCTCAATGTGGCTGGAGCATACAGTGTGTTTTGGGTGAGTTAGGAGAGGAATGTAAGGCTTTAGATTCTGATTTGAAGGTTCTAATATATTTGTTGTTGTTGTTGTTATTTGCCGTCGAGTCGGCCCCGACTCATAGCGACCCCTCCTTGGGTTTCCGAGGCAGTATCACTACGGAAGTAGGATTGCCCAACCTTCCTTCCGAGGAGTGGCTGGTGGGTTTGAACCGCCAGCCTTCTGGTTAGCAGTCAAGTGCTTTAGCCACTATGCTACCAGAGCTCCCTCTAATTAGAACCTATATATTAGCTGAGATTCTGATTTCATCCTGAAATCAAAGAGGAGCCAATGAAGGGTTTTAAGCAGTGGAATGCCATGACGAGATTTGCTTTTCAGCAAGACCATTTTAATGGATGAAAAGTTTGGGACAGAAAGACTGATAAGGAAGCAATCTCCATGGTTCCAAGGAGCAAAGCTGAAGATATGAATGAAGGCAGTGACAGTGGGGTTAGAGAGGGGAAGATGGATACTTGTATACCAGACTGACCAGCTTCTTGACTAAACTGATGGAGGGAGGGAGAGAATAGGGGGCACCAGAAACCCTTGTTTCTGGATTGGACAGCTAGGAGGAATGGTGGCAACATTCACAGAAATAGGGAAAACAGAAGGAAAAACAGATTTTGTGGGGGAAGATGGTGAGTTCAGCGTTGGATGTGTTGAGTTTGAGATGCACATGGGAAATATAACTAGTGCTAGCTCGTAGGTAGATGTAAGTGACAGGAGCTCACCAGGGAGCTCTAAGTGAAGTGTAAATCATGCTGTGACTGAGTGTCTCAAAGAGAACATGTGCACTGAGGAGAGAAGGGCCATTGCCAGGATCCTGGGGAACATTCACATAAATAACTGACCAATGGAGAGGAGCTCAGAAAGGAAACCAAGGATGAGTGACTTGAAGTAGGAGGAGTGTTGGGAAAGAGAAAAAAATGGAGGTAAGAACTATAGCATATAGTAAGAGTAGAAGCTTTTTGGCCTAGGTAAGCTTACATATAAGTAAGCTCTACTTTCTAGACACCTGGCATTTAGCTAGAGCCACAAGATAGAGTCACTCATTGAATGTGACCAGAAAAACATGCAGTTAAAAGTTGTTGGGCCTTCATGGTCTTTTCCTTCTCCTCCAAGATCCCTTTAGAGGTCACATGTAAAAGGACCTCCAGAAAGAAAGCACTCAAATTTTCAGTTTTATTTGTTACTGCAGCACAACTGAGCCAATCTTTCCTAATCCTGGCACTGAAGGCAGACTGCCATGTTTGAATCCTGGCTTTACCTCTTGCCAGCTGCATGACCTTGAATAAATTGTTTAATTTTTCTGTGCCTCAGTTTCCTCATCAGTAAAACAGAGATCATAATAATATCTACTTTATATAGTTGTCTGAAGGTAAAATGAAGCAATAAATGTGGGGTACTTAGCACACTATTAAGTACTCTAGAAATGTCAGCAGCTGTGGACAGAAGAATGTCCAGAACAGGGTTTATAGCAGGAGTTAGCAAACTACAGCCCACAGGTCAAATTTATACTGCTGCTGATTTTTGTACAGTCTGCCAGGTGAAAATGAGTATTACATGTGAAGATCGTTGGAAAAAACTGCATTAAAATGATCTGAAACTCATATTTCAGTGTCCTTAAATTAAATTTTACTGGAACACTAGTTAAACCATTTGCTGTCAAGTCTATCCCAACTCATGGGAACCTCATGTGTGTCAGAATAGAACTGTGCTCCATAGAGCTTTTAAAATTGTGACTTTTTGGAATCCGATCAGCAGGCCTTTCTTCTGAGAGGCTTCTGGGTGGGTTTGAACTGCCAAACTTACAGTTAAAAACCAAGCACATTACTCATTTGTATTATCCCAGGACTCCTTACTAGAACACAGCCACATGCATCTGTTCATGTATTATCTATGGCTACTTTTGTGCTACAATGACAGAGCTGACTAGTGGCAACAATGAGATATGGTCCACAAAGCCTAATATATTCGCTTCTTGGCCCTTTACAAAAAAGTTTGCTGACTCTTGATTTACACTGTGAGATATAACAAAAGATCAAGAAAAATAAGAACTAAAAAGTGTTAACTAGAATTGCCTATGGATTAATAATGACTTTGATAATGCTTTTATTGGAATAATAAAAGTAGAAACTAGAGTTTAGGAAGTCACTTAATTTCTATAATTCTCAATCTTCTCAGCTGTAAATTGGAGAGAAACAGAGCTACCTTCTTGAGTTATTGCAACGATCAGTGTTAATTCACGTAAAACATAAAACATAGTGTCTGGCTTACAGGAGATGCTTAATAAGTGGAAGCTCTTGCTTCACTTAATCTGCTGCCACCAAAATTGTCATTCCGTTTTAGATAATCATTTCTCATTTGTTATGTTTTAAGGCTTTACCTTAAAACATTTCTCATTTCCATGTTTTAAGGCTTTACCTTATATACTAAGTCTTTGCTCATATCTTACCTCCTTAATAAGACCTATCCTGATGTTGCTATTTATATTGTAATTTGTCCCTCACTCTGGCAATTCTAACTCTTTTATGGTACTCTTTTTCTAATAGAAATGTTCACCTCTGACATTCTAGAGAATTTAATAAAGTATTGTGTTTATTGTTTACCAACTGTCTCTACCATTAGAATGTAAGCTCCTGAGGGCAGAAATCTTGGTCTATTTTACACAATTACATATAATCCTGGTGCTCCGTGAATATCTATCAAATGACTAAAATAGAAAAATATCAGTGAGGACTTTTTTTTTTTAATACTGCTTAGGACTGGATGTACTCCTTTAAACTGAGGATCTGTATTTCATCATCTTTGTAACATTCTCAACTATTACCTGTTAGAATACAGCTTCTGCTCCATCTCCTCCATTCTCTCCGTCTGGAACTCCTTTTACAGTGTTGGCCCAAACAGTCTATCCTCAACAATGCTTAATCCTCTCCATATTTGACATCTAGTCAGCTCTTTGTTTTATTCTAAGGCAATTTTCTCTATATCAGTAAGTTTCTTTTAAGCTCTGTCTAGTCCAGTAGTTAACCTGTTAATTGAATCTTGATTTCAACAAACAACAGTAATTTCTATTTCTTCCCTTTTCCTTTCTGTCTCTTAATTTCCCACCTTTTCTGTACTTGTTTCATAGTTTCTAATACGTTTATCTCTTTGAATATTTTAAATATTCCTATTTTAAATCTTTTTCAGATTTTTCTGTTATCTCTAACTGTTCCATTTGTTTAATCAGCTGGCATTGTGTTATAGTCCATTTCTTTGTGCAGTTTGTAATTTTGGATTGTCAGTGCACCTTCAATAGTGGTTGTTTAGCAAGTGCTTCTGCCAGGGACAACTAAAAAGGCATAAAAAATATATCACTGAAGGGTGTCCCTCAGGATAGGAGGTAGTATAATGTGGGCTTTAGGGAATGGACTGTAAGTTTCCATCCTCACTCTGACATTACTTGCATAACCTTGAACAAGTTACTCTTTAAGTCTTTATTCCATTACATGTAAAATAGAGATAGGAGTCCTATTGGTGCAAATGTTTAAGCACTCAGCTGCTAACTGAAAAGTTGCTGGTTCAGACTCACCCAGTGCCTCCATAGGAGGCACTGCTTTGGTAAAGACTGTGGTAAGAAAACCCTATGGGGAGTTCTACTCTGTCATAAGGATTGTTATGAGTCAAAATAGACTTGATGGCACACAACAATGACAATATGGAGCTAAGAATACTTTCTAGAGATGTGAAGAATTTGTGAGATAATGAACATAAGGAGTTTAGTCTCAATGTTTTACATGTATTAAGTGCTTAATAAATGATATAAACCATTATAAATATGTGGTAGCCATTATATTCCTTGTCAATGACTTCTCCTTTTGTTGTGGTATAAAGGAAGTGACTTCATGCTCACGAAACTGGCTTTTGAATAGCCAGCTGTTGCATTTGGAAACTGGTTATATCTGTTTGCTTTATTTGTGACATGTATTAGTTAAAGCTAGAAAAAAAAAAAAAAAAGAAAAAGAAAAACCCACAAGAACATGTTCACTTGGCTTTCAGCCATTGCTAAGGAGCATTGATGAAAGATAGAAGGAAGTTTCAAACATTATCCTGTTTTAAAAAATAAAGCCTAATTAGAGAGTTGAATCATTTGCCAACTCTTCTGGATCATTAAGATGTAGCAGTAGGGAGAGTTCTTTTGAAAGGACAATGACCCAGATACATTTCTTTTGTTTCATTCAAAGAGAAAATGTATATTTAACTTCTTGGCCATGTTTTCCTTGGTAATCAGTCCCTTTCAAAGGTCAGAAATAGAAAAACAGAGAACTGAACCTTTAGCTGATGATCAATAAACACTATTGGAAGATAGAGACACAGTAAAATTTTTGGGCAACAGAACCTCACTTCTGTCTCTTTTCCTTAATCAAATGCTATTTTGAATATGTTGATGAGAGAGGACTAACGAGCCAAAGTTAGTGAATGAAAGCTGTAGGCTTCTATCATTTATCATGGAATATGTTATTAGTTATTTATAAAATTTTCATAAAATGAAGATTATAATTCTAATTTTTATAAAACATTTATGAAGGCATGAATTAAAAACATTTATATAGAGAAACACTTTTTAGGTTTTAATTACCTGATCTTCATAATCAGATCCTGTATCAATGCTCTCTCCAGTGTCCAACATCATGGATGGATCAAGGTCAACTGAACCTAAGATTAGGAAAACAAAGATTAGCTGGGGAAGGCCATCTATGTACATTTCTAAAGCAAACTATCTCCCACTAGGTTTCCATACTTTCTTTATGATAAACTTCACAAACATTTCTAGACTGTCCATCTGCCAGGCACTGTGTTTGAGCTAGAGACAGAAAAGGCAAAGATACTTTGGACACTGTCCCCACCCTCAAGAAGACACTGTTGTGGTGTAGACTGATTTGTCAACAGCTAGGTTCAAAAACTAAAAGGAAAGAGCTATTGATTCTGACTGATAGTGGAGGTGATGGTGAAGTTGGGATTCTTCACAGAACTAACCTATGAGCCAGAACATTGAGGGTTAGAGTTGGCCAGAAGGATAAGAGGTTTCATAGTGTGGAATTGTAACCAGAGTAGAAGAAACACCAGAAGCAAAGAAAGAATAGGACAAGATCAAGGGATTTCCAGAAATAAGAAATGCTGAGTTTTCCCATCCCATGAAAACTTGAGAATTTTTCCTTAAGCCTTTTGATTGCTGTAGTCCCTAAAGTGTGCCTGACACAAGCCATGATATTTTCAATTGCCTCATACACATGTGAGAGCTGAACAATGAATAAGGACGATCGAAGAAAAGTTGATGCTTTTGAGTTGTGGTGCTGGCAAAGAATGCTGAAAGTGCCATGGTCTGCTAAAAGATGGAAGAAATCTGTCCTGGAGGAAGTGCAGCCGGAATGCTGCTAGGAAGCGAGAACGGCCAGACTTTGTCTTGCTTACTAAGGAGCTCTGGTAGCATAGTGGTTAAGACACTTGCCTGCTAACCAGATGGCTGGCAGTTCAAACCCACCAGCCACTCCTCGGAAGGAAGGTTGGGCAATCCTACTTCCGTAGTGATACTGCCTCGGAAACCCAAGGAGGGGTCGCTATGAGTCGGGTTTGACTCGACGGCACATAACAACAACAACAACAATAACTTTGGTCGTGTTGTCAGAAAGGACCATTCCCTGGAGAAGGTGTCATGTTTGATAAGGTGGAGGGACTACAAAGGCGGGGAAGGCCCTGAAGAGATGGATTGATAGAGTGGCTGTGGCGATGAGCTCAAGTATAGCAGGGATCATGGAGCTGGCGTGGGACAGGGCAGTGTTTCGTTCTGCTGTGCATAGTGTCACTATGAGTCAGAGATGACTTGACAGCACCTAACAACAACAGCAATTCCTAAAGCAAGAAAAATTAGGGTAACTTAATGTAATACTGGAGAGATTTTTCCCTAGGTAGTATAGGTTACAGTAAATTGCTTGCTCATTAATCTCCAAGGCTCAAACTTAAAACAGTAATTTTCATAATGGAGCTCCTGAAGCATAATTGATACATCAACCTCATTTAATGACTGTTTCCTGATGGGACATATATATCCCCTACCAGGAAAGGGAGAGACCAGGAGCAGCCTCAGGGACTTTAGGAGCAGCAGGATATCCAGGTTAAAAGGGGCGGGAGGCAAGGCTAGGCCCCAAGCCCACTAGAGCCAGGAAAGGGAAGGACCAGGAGCAGCCTCGGGGACCTCAGGAGTGGCGGGATATCCAGGTTAAAAGGGGTGGGAGGAAAGGCTAGGCCCCAAGATCCCTAGAGCCAGGAAAGGGAGGGACTAGGAGTGGCCTTGGGGACTTCAGGAGCAGCAGGATACCCAGGTAAAAAGGGTTGGGAGGCAAAGCTAGTCTCCAAGCCCCCTAGAGCTAGAAAAGAGAGGGACCAGGAGTGGCCGGGGACACAGAGTGGCAGGTTTCAGGTAGGAATTAGGTTAAGAGGAGGGTGCAGAGGTTTTCAACAGCTAAGGGAGACAAACTTGTCTGTCACTTTGTCATTCCATGAGGCTTGTATGTTGCTGTGAGGCTTGAGGCTGCACCACTGGTGTTTCAGATGCCAGGAGAGTTGCACATGGTGCACAGGTTTCAACACAGAATTCTTAGTCTTACAGACTAAGACAGACTAGAAAGAAGAAGGAGGGCATCCACTTCTCAAAAATTGGCCAGAGAAAACCTTATGAATAGCAGAGTTGTGGTGCTGGCAAAGAATGCTGAAAGTGCCATGGTCTGCTAAAAGATGGAACAAATCTGTCCTGGAGGAAGTGCAGCCAGTATGCTGCTAGGAAACGAGAACGGCCAGACTTTGTCTCACAGAAACATTGTCTGATACATAACTGGGCAACTATATGAATAGCTTGGAAACATTGTCTGACACAGTGCAGGAAGATTAGCCCCTTGGGTTGGAAGGCACTCAAAATAGGACTGGGAAAGAACTGCCTCATTAGAGTAGAACCAACCTTAATGATATGGATAAAGTAAGGCTTTCAGGACCTCCGTGTGCTGACATGGCATGACTCAAATTGAGGAGAAACAATTGCAAATATCCATTAATAATCAGAACATGGAATGTACAAAGTATGAGTCTAGGAAAATTGGAAGTTGTCAAAAATGAAATGGGACACATAAAGATTGATATCCTAGGCATTAGTGAGCTGCAATGGACCACTTTTGGCCATTTTGAATCAGGCAACCATATGATCTACTATGCTGGGAATAACAAATTGAAGAAGAATGATGTGGCATTCATCATCACAGAAGATATTTCAAGATCTGTCCTAAAGTACAATGGTGTCAGTGATAGGATAATATCCACATGCCTACAAGGAAGACCAGTTAATATGACTATTATTAAAATTTATGCACCAACCACTGAAGCCAAAGATGAAGAAATTGAAGATTTTTATCAACTTCTGCAGTCTGAAATTGACCGAACATGCAATCAAGATGTGTTGCTCATCACTGGTGACTGGAATGCAAAAGTTGGAAACAAAGAAGAACATGAGTAGTTGGAAAATTTGGCTTTGGTGACAGAAATAATGCTGGAGATCGCATGATAGAATTTTGCAAGACCAACTACTTATTCATTGAAAATACCTTATTTCAACAGCACAGTCGGTGGCTATACACGTGGACTTCACCAGACAGAGTACACAGGAATCAGATTGACTACATCTGTGGCAAGAGGCAATGGAAAAACTCAGTATCTTTAGCCAAAACAAGGCCAGGAGCTGATTGTGGAACAGACCATCAACTACTCACATGCAAGTTCAACTTGAAGTTAAAGACAATTAAAACAAGTCCACGAGAGCCAAAATATGATCTTGAATATATCCCTCCTGAATTTAGAGAACTTCTAAAGAATATCTGATGCATTGAACACCAATGACAGAAAACCAGAACAACTGTGGGATGATATCAAGAGCATCATCCATGAAGAAAGCAAGAAGTCATTAAAAATACAAGAAAGAAAGAGAAGACCAAAATGGATGTCAGAAGAGACTTTGAAACTTGCCCTTGAGTGAAGAGTAGCTAAAGCAAATGGAAGAAATGACAAGATAAAAGAGCTGAATGGAAGATTTCAAAGAGCAGCTTGAGCAGACAAAGCCAATTACTATAATGAAATGTGCAAAGACCTGAAGTTAGAGAACCAAAAAGGAAGAAGACACTCAGCATTTCTCAAGCTGAAAGAACTAAGGAAAAAATTTAAGCCTCAAGTAACAATACTGAAAGATTCTATGGGCCAAATATTGAATGAAGCAGGAAGCATCAAAAGAAGATGGAAGTAATACACAGACTCACTGTACCAAAAAGAACTGGTCAATGTTCATCCATTTCAGGAGGTGGCATATGTTCAAGAATCAATGGCATTGAGGGAAGAGGTCGAAGCTGTGCTGAGGGAATTGGCAAGGAACAAGCCTTCAGGAATTGACAGAATACCCATTGAGATGTTTCAACAAACAGATGCCCTGCTGGAGGCACTCATTTGGTTATGCCAAGAGATTTGGAAGACAGCTACCTGGTTAACTGACTGGAAGAGATCCATATTTGTACCCCTTCCAAAGAAAGGTGATCCCACAGAATGTGGAAATTATAGAACAATATCATTAATACCACATGCAAGTAAAATCTTACTGAAGGTAATTCAAAAATGGTTGCAGCAGTATATTGACAGAGAACTTCCAGAGGTGCAGGCTGGATTCAGAAGAGGATGTGGAAGGAGGGATATCATTGCTGATGTCAGATGGACCTTGGCTCAAAGTAAAGAATACCAGAAAGATGTTTACTTGTTTTTTATTGACTATGCAAAAGCATTTGATTGTGTGGATCATAACAAATTATGGATAACATTGAGAAGAATGGGAATTCCAGAACACTTAATTGTACTCATGAGGAACCGCTACATAGACCAGGAGGCTGTCGTTCAAACAGAAAAAAGGGAACACTGCATGGTTTAAAGTCAAGAAGGGAGTGTGTCAGGGTTGTATCCTTTCACCATACTTATTCAATCTGAATGCTGAATAATCTGAGAAGCTGGACTATATGAAGAAGAATGTGGCATCAGGATTGGAGGAAGAATCATTAACAACCTGTGATTGCTGACGATACAACTTTGATTCCTGAAAGTGAGGGTGACTTGAAGTACTTACTGATGAAGATTGAAGAATACAGTCTGCAGTATGGATTACATCTCAATATAAAGAAAACAAAAATCCTCACAAATGGACCTATAAGCAACATCACGATAATGGAGAAAATATTGAGGTTGTCAAAGACTTCACATTGCTTGGTTCTACAATTGACACCAATGGAAGCAGCAGTCAGGACATCAAATGATGTACAGCACTGGGCAAATCAGCTGCAAAGGACCTCTTTTAAGTGCTGAAGAACAAAGATGTCTCTTTGAGGACTAAGGTGCACCTGACACAAGCCATGGTATTTTTCAGTTGCCTCATAAGCATTTGAGAGCTGGACAATGAATAAGAAAGACCAAAGAAGAGTTGATGCTTTTGAGCTGTGTTGTTGGTGAAGAATGCTGAAAGTACCATGGACTGCTAAAAGAACTAACAGGTCTGTCCTGGAGGAAGTGCAGCCAGAAGGCTCTTTGGAGGTGAGAATTGCCTGACTTTGTCTCACATACTTTGGTCATGTTGTCAGAAGAGA